CATAAAACGCTGTAGTAAAATGACAGATGAGTGCAATAAATTTTTTATTGCACTAGTGCAATAAAGAAACAGTTTTTTCACTAAATATAATTTAATAAAGTTTTGTTTTTGCATGAACGTAGAAAAAAATGATTAAAGTAATGTATCGCACTCGTAAGTAGTATTTTAAATATATAAAATCATTTACCTACTAAGGTTGAAAAACGGGGAGTTGAAAGTTTGTATAGGACATTCGATTTTTTTTTATAGATTGTAACTTAAAAACTCGTAAATAAATATTAAAGTGATTAAAATGTTTCAGGGTTTTCGGATTTTTACATTTTAAGGGAGGAAAACAAAGATAAAAGTTTGTCTAGGATATTTGAAATTTTTTGAAGATTGGAACTTAAAAATTGAAATAAATAAATAATGAAGTGAATTAAGTGTTTCAGGGTTTTTGGGTTTTCACATTTTAAGGGAGGAAAACGAAGATGAAAGTTTGTATAGGATATTCGATTTTTGAAGATTGGAATTTATAAATTGGAATTGTAGAACTACTCATCATAAATAAATAATGAACTTTTCAGGGATTTTGAATTTTCACATTTTAAGGGAGGAAAACGGGAATGAAAGTTTTTGTAGGAATATTGATTTTTTTAAAGAATGAAACCTGAAAATTGGAATTGTAGTTACCCATCATAAATAAATATATACTGAAATGTTTCAGGGTGTTTCGATTTTCACATTTTAAGGAAGGTCAACGGGGATGAGAGTTTTTATAGGAATATTGATTTTTTTACTCACCATAAATAAATAGTGATATTTTTCTGGGTTTTCGAATTTTCACATTTTAAGGGAAGAAAACCGGGATGAAACTGTGCTAATATTCATTGCTAATGATCATATTTATAAATTATTATTATTGTTCATTTTGTAACAGCCAACAACGTCGACAAACAGACGAAACATTAATAAATATTATGGAAATGTTTAATAATGTTATACTGAAATAGGTATGTCAAAATAACTAGTAAGCCACCATTAAAAAAAATTACGCATTTTATTTTTTTTTAAATAAGTTAAATAATAAAATTTGTAACGGTTGTAACCGTTATTTCGAACACAATTACCTCTTACTCAAATGTCATTTGTCGTTTATGCTTTGTGTCAGAGAAAGGGACAGTTTTATTTGATCTGTCACATAGCGACGAATAGGTCACTTCTATTTTGATTTTATTTGGGTCATCCGAAATATTAATTCATATTAATTCATATTTATTTATGTTAATGACCGTCTTATTTTATAAGGTATGTTTTGTTAATGATTTCTCAAGCAAATTGTCGAATTTTATACATAACTTCTACATCTGCAATGAATGACACATGTTAACTAATATATAAAATTTTATATTATTTTTGTGGAATAAGATATGCTTTAATATATTTAAATATATTAAATAAGATTTTTTTTTTTATAATAATTTTAGTCTCTGTTAAATTATTCATTTAATGGTTAAAGCATTTTATCTAAATCCTTTTAAAATTTCCTTTCATCTATCATAACATTTTAACCCGTTTTAGCTGATGGTTCCAATACAATAAGAATTTTTTATTCTGAAGATCGTTTGGGTTCGAATACAATAGGAACCATTTACCTTAAAGATCATCCACGGTGAAGTCTCGAATGAGAGTTATGAATAAGAATCCCCAATCATTTGCTGGAGGTTGCCTAACCGGTATATAATGTTTAGCGATTGATGTATCTCTGCAGTTTGGAACGAAGGATTAAATATCCAATTTTACCTTTAACTTACCATACCGTATATTACCTTATTTACCACATAGATAAGTGAAATTGATCTAATCAATAAATTGTTTTAAATTTGAATTATGTGCAAACTTATATAATACAATAATAATAATACTCTCCCTAATTCACTTTCTTACGAGTGAATTTCAACCCCTGAAGTTGAGTGAACGACTTGTGTAGGAGCAGGGACGGCTGTTATTATTATTTGACGTGGCGCTCCGGGGCGACTTAAAGATGATTGATGGTGTTATTTGACTTACAGGTAAGAAAAACCCGGAGAACCTCACCCACCATCGAATGTGAATTAGAATTTGATACCTACTTTATCTAAAGCATTTTTTAAGTATGATTTGTTAGTGGTTAGTGATTTTCTATATTTTTATCACTAATGTAGAGTTAAGTGTATAAGCTTTAAATATAGTGGTGCCCAACTTCTTTTTAAAAGCTATTAGAGTTATTTAAAAACTTAACCCACGCCCTATAAATTGAGCTCAAACACATATATCAAAGTAGATAAAATTACCAGCTAATTCATGTTACAAACTTAATCATTTCGACCTTCTATTTCCCATATTAAGCGAGACACAAAGTACACATACTGCAATGAACATTTTTTATTTTCTACTCTCCTCATTTGTTGATTACATGTTAATTTTCAGTTTTATATAATTGAAAATTTATTAAATTAAAGCACTGTTTTTTGGTCGTAGAAAAAATAATGTATAGAACTAATATTGGTTATTAAATAATTGTTGCATAAAATAGTAATAAAGGGTATATAAACTATACAATCAACAATTAGCTAAATATTTATTATAGAAACCTATAATAAATACATAAAAATATAATTGAGTTAATTACATTATTAATTTTGATATAACTGTCAATTCGTTTGTCTAATTAATATACTGTCGCTTATTAAATTCATTTTATTATGTTTCTATTTATTGTTTAATATATTCATATTGCGTTTTAATAATTTATGAGGTAAACTGGCAGATTATAATAATAATATTTCTGCATCGAACTGCCGATAATATATTTTTTATAAACAATATTTTCATTATTCTTTCTGCTACAGTTTCTGTAGCAGGTGTGTTGTCGTAAAACCAGTAATAAACAAAAATAGGTCGTCAAACAATATATACAACGATAAACAATAATATTAATTGAATGTCTATCCTGTTTTTAAATGAAACAGATCTAAAAAAGTGCAACTCGGTACACAATTAAAAGTTAAAAAATCATATATTAAAACACAAATATATCCTCGCTTCAGAGCAGAAGTAGCTTAACTATAAACATTAAATTTTAAAGTGGAGGGTTTTTTTAATTCAAATTTAGGTCGGACATTATCTTTATATAAATTATATATACATTAAGGGTAAAGGTTTTTAATAAAGTTTAGTCAAAAAGAATATATTTTGAATACTTTGAAAAATCTAGATATGACATAGTTTGTGATATCTAACGTGTTACTTAGAATAGTTCTACAATCAGATATACAGGGCTAAACTAAATTACAAATTTTAAAGTTAGGCTACTTCTGCTCTGAAGCGACGATATACTAAAGCCCTCTACCTAGGGGATCTTAGTATTGCATTTGTACCGAAGAGAATTTTTTTTACCACAATTTGTAACACTCTTCTTCACATTTATGATCATCAAAGTCACACCCATAGTACCAGATCCTTTTGGTGTAGGTTTTGCTACAAAGTCTTACTTACACGGTAGACCCTGGTACTAATATTGCTACTTTATTGGGTATGACTACTTTAATGGTTCTATTCAGTGGCGTGCAGTGATATTTTTGGAAGGGGAAGCGATTCACCATTTTGTCAAAATCTTGCTTTTTTTCCTCAGTACTACGGATATTCGAGATTGAGATTTTTAAAGTGTTACTAGTACTTTATTACCTAGTTTACTACTAGAAGCTATAAAAAAACTTACCATTAAAAAGCTTCCTTGGTTTATTTAAACGTAAAAAAACATTTAACTGAAGTTTTTTTTTATTTTTTCCAGCATTTTTCGCACAGTTGACATAGCAGTTGACATTTATTTATACTTAAGATCTAGTCGCCTATCCTCAATAGCTGAAAATTTGTCTATAACATCGTCGTAAAATTTTGGATTTTCTGATAACTGTTTAACAAGCTGTTTTTCAATGAATATTAGGGCTAAATTAGAGTCTGTCTTCACTTGTTGAATTTTGTATTAAACTTTTAATGCGCTTTAAACCTGAAAAACGTCATTCAACTGACGCACTAGTGGCTGGGATGGTTAGTACTAATTCACACAACTTGACGACTTAACAAGGGGACTTAATTAAACCAGTTATTATAAGAAAACTTAACACATTGATGGGCGTCTTTTTATCACTAATTTTAGTTGTTTCACAAACAACACTTAACTGGGACTTTAATGCTGGAATATCGAAAAAAATTCCATAATTTAATTTTAGTGAATTAAAAGCTTCCAATGGAAATTTTGATGAATCGTAGATACAAATATTAAAATTGCACAATTCAACAAATTTTAATTCGTTAAAGTTTTGAAATCGAGAGTTCATTTGTTGTAAAATATTATCAAAAATTTCGGCGTAAAATCTACGATAGGAGGTCTCTCTGTCGCCGACATTATAATTCTAATTCTCTTTATTTCAGATTCTAAGCCAATGTTTTTTGTCTTATTTCAAAAGTGTTCGAACTGATCTCGTTTTTTATTCATTTTATTTTTAAAACCATTAATTTGTTTAATGCAAAAGCTAATGTCATTTGACTTTGTCTTTAAAATATCGAATAAAATGTCAGTAAAAGGGAAAATCTCTGCAAAAATGTTGAGCAAAAAATTGAAATCAGAGTTTTGTTTGAGCCAATGCAAATACCTTTTAGCGACAGTAACAGTTTCAGCATCCCATGTTTTTTATTATCCCAAACGTCTTGAAAAAAGTGTATCAAAGTATCACGGTATTGAAGCACCGTTTGCACTAAACTTCCATTGTAGTTCCGTCACGTCGAAGCAACTTTTGGAAACATTTTTTGAACTTGAATGTCCAAAGCGCGAGTTCTTTTAGATGACTTTGAAAAGAAGGAAGCCAAACCACTAAGCGGCGAAAAAAAACGTTGCAATCTTTAATATTATCCATGCTTCGCGATAAAACCAAATTAAGTATATGTGCTATACAGTGAACGAAAATTGCATGTTTAAACTTCTATTTCACTTTAGCTTGAAGGCCTTCTAAATGGCCAGCCATTACGGCAGCACTATCGTAGCTCTGCGCAACAATCTTAGAACTACATTCTAAACTTGAAATAATGTCACAAACAATTTTAATTAATGCATCTGCAGTTCGTTCGTTAGTGACTTCCAAAAATCATAAGAATCGCTCTTGAGGAATGCCATCCAATACATATCGCACAACAATGGATAATTGACTTAGGTTTGCTACATCTGTGGATTCATCAAGCGCAATTGATAGGAAAGGTGCTTTTTTAATTTCACTTTTAATGTGATCCATCACAACGTCGGCAGTGCATTTAAATAAATCATTTTGGATTCTGTTTGAGGTACCTCGGAAAGTCGTCGAATCAATAAAATTATTTTTTAGGGTATCATCGTATTTTGCTAAAAATCTTAGAAGTTCCATGTAATTTCCTCGATTGGCGGATCCACTTGCTTCATTGTGAACCTAAAACTTAGTTTATGCTCTCCCAGGAAACAAGTTACATCTGTTAATCGATGTAAGACGTCCCTATTTTTTTTATCCTTTCATTGTGGATATTGTTGCTTATTTTTAAATGATTGTCCAAACTATGTTCAATGCGATAGGTCTCGAATGGTTTTCCTTTAATTGTAGCACTTATATGAGATTTGCTATTTACATGTCGTTTTACACTTTTGTGAAAATTATTCAAGTCTGTAATACCGACTGAGTTCCAATGTGTTTTTTCGGCTATATTAAAAACTAGGCAAGGTCAGCAAAACAATTTCTTCAAAGTTTTGCAGCCGGTTATCCATTCATACTTTTCATCGAACCATATTTAAAAATGCCTGGTAAATTTATTTGCTGACTTTTCTACTTTCGTCTCTAAATTGATAGGATCCTTTAGTCTACTAGAATTAATAATGTCCGTTTTCTCTTCAAATTTTTTACTTAAAAATCAGTTTTTCAATAAAGAGCACACAATACAGACACAATTTACCACATTATTATTGTTCACATGCATAGTGCATAGTTCCTCCATTTTACAAAAAGAAAAACAATTACGAAAAACAAACTAAAATCTACCTGAAGTCTACGATTTTCCTCACACGTCGATTCGCGGTGCGAATTGCAATATGCGTAAGGCGACGTAAAAATCGCTGCCTCTCGACCGTATTTCACGTGTGCAAACAGACTGACTACTGTTGCGGCAAAGCAGGGTTAATAACACAAGCGAAATCAATTGGAAGATGAGACGGTTTTCTCAAGACGCGCTTCCACCGACGGACTCGAAGTGTATAGTTTGTGCGTTTACACAATTAATTTTCTTATGGGTGGTGCGTGCGTTTACACATTACACCAATGAATTGTTAGTACATTTACGAAGTTAATATTAATTTCTATGCATTGTAAACTAAAAAATATTTATTTTTAAATCTCAAAGTGTAGGGAAGCGGTGCTTCCATCGCTTCCATGGACCGCACGCCCCTGGTTCTTTTGAAGTAACTTGTACTACACCTATACCATTTTTTGGCACTGTAAACACCCAAAACTATATAGTACCAGTAGTTACTGCCACCCACCAGTGCCACTAATATGCCTAAATAAAGTAACTGGGTACATAGAGAAGCAAAACGGTTCCAGAATAGTCAAAATAGCACTTGAATAGTTACTAGAACTGGGAACTATGATTTTAATGTTTTTTTGGTAGTTATTGGGTTATTTTAGTGCCTGTTGATTGTATCTGGATGTTTATATTTTAAATAAAAATCGTGAGTGTTTGGTTAAAGCTTTCGGCACTGATTAGTGCCTTCTTTAGTAATATTTATTAAATTTCCTTTTGATTTTTCAGTTAGTGCATTTTATATTTTTATACTAAATTTTTTTATATACATATAAGATACGTTACAAGATTCTGTTGGTACAAATTGGAGTGTGTCTTTTAAACAAAACTAAACATTTTTAAAAGTATATAGTATTCTTTAATACGTCTTAGTACTCCTAACAGTTAGTTAAGCTTTAGGTACACATTAAACTTTTTGTATATTTTTTTTTCGTCTAATTTGTATACCTAAGCATACGCTCGAAGTGGTCAGCCTTATGAATAGATATTTTTATATAGGATTGATTTCATGTCATTTTCTTGCTCCAATTTTGCAGCTGCTAGTTTTGTTTTCTTCGTAGTTACAACAAAAACATTGGAATAAAAAATACGTTTGTGTATACATTAAATGAACTTTATTTTCTTTGACCCATTTCTCACAAGCTTAAAAACTACAAACGGTTAAACATGGCAAGTAGAAGGAAACTTTATTCTCTGTTTCTTTCAACGAATAATCATTAATAAATGTCCACCATATTTACATAAAAAAATTATGTCCAGAACAAATATTCATAATATTATTATATCCAAGGGTTTGATAACATCTTGTGCGCCGTCCTTTCATTTCATTATGTAATCAAATGGGATTATTTATATCCCTTTATTTAAATTGATGCGCAGGACACGTTTCAAACCAACTGAGATATACTATAAATGTTCTCGCATCGAAATACCAAGAAAACGTCTCTCATCATTCCTAGAGATAAATAGATTAAATATTCTATTACGACACTTGTTCTAGCAGCAATTGCTTTAGTTGCGAGGCGCATAAATTTAAATAATTATTTTTACTTTTTGTAGATAGGTAATAGAACAAGCGTATTAAAGATTATCGAGTTTGAGGAACAATAAGTTGTACTAACATTATATGTTACAAAAAGGAGAAGGACATTATACGAGTTAGGTTAGGTTGAAAATGAGTTGGATGATTACGTTTCGTTTAACTTTTGTGGCTCATACTAGAATTGAATTAGGTTCATCGTTGATAAAAGTCATGGTTGAGTTAGGCGAGGCTTGTTTAAAATTAGAAGGCTATAGTCTGGTGAAGTCAATTATTTTTAAGGCATATTAGGTATATATGTCGTAGCCAGATTACAAAACCCGTCGTTTTATAAATTGCCTAGACGTTTTATAAAAAATAGCGACCAAATTGTCAAATTTTCGTTTACTTCTCATTATTTTGCAATCTGACGAGCCGGATTATAAAATGCCTAGGCGTTTTATAAAAAGACGATCAACTCACGGCCAGATTGTCAAATATTTAATATTATCCTCTGTTTGACATTCCGGCGGGAAAGGGAGTTTCAGTCGTCTTGTAAAACACTGCCGATTTGATTTGAACAATTTAATTTAAGATGATAACAACAGTATAAATGAAAATGCAGAAAATAAAAAATCAAACGATAAAGAACAAACTACACGTAGATTTCGCAGTAAGTAATAAAATTAAATGGAAGTGTAATCTTTGCTGTAAAGAAAAAGTAAAATAGACCAAATCACAAAAAAAATGCCAGGGGCCGCTTGATCCAAAAGCTGTCTTAAAAACTATTCTTGATGTACGAAATGGAGTATACCAGGAGTTTCAGTTGGTACGTCAAACTTAAATTCAGAAAATACCAGTATTTCGTTAAAGGAAGCTATTTCTAAGGATTTTTAATTTGGGATAGAATATTTTAAGAAAAGTCAGTGAAAATCTAGTAATGTTTAATGCTGTACAAATATCTTGGTTTTAAGGCACGGAAAAATGCCACAGTAGGTGTCATTTCAGTGGTCCATGTTCTAATAAATAAAATATGCTTATAGTCTAAAACCCGACCGTATGATTTATGCACTCATATGTTTTTAATTCAAAGTACAACTTTTATAGATAATTATTGATAGAGAAATATAATTTTGCTGGGTTACCTATCAAAATATTACCGTAAGTGTTTTTTTCTACTTTAAGGTGTATTTCTCTTATAATTGTTTATAGAAGAAAATTATTTTAGTAAAAGTTGTTTGTGATGTTATTCTCTAGACTTTTGGTCATATAAATATTTTTTTCTAAAATGGACTATGATTAAGAAATTTGAGGAAAAATGTAAATATTTCTGTAAGTAAATATTGAGTGGGGCCCTTGAAATCAAAAAATGTTTAGATTACGAATTACAGATAAAAATTATTTAAAACACTATTTCATAACTTCATTGCCAACAAAAATACTGAAAAAATAAAATTTGGCACATTTTCTCAAATTTCTCTATTACGGTCCATATGTTAAATAAAATCATGTATTTGACCAAAATCATAGAGAACAACTCTGGTTGAAAGAATTTTCTTCTATGATCATAACACAGTAACGAAAATAAATTTTTAAGTATTATTAAAATGCCATATTTTGATAGGCAACCCAGTAAAACCGTATTTCTCCATCAATAATTATCTATAGAAATTATATTTTGATTAAAACACAGTGCAGCAATCATACGGTCGGATCTAAGACTATTATTGGTTCTCTTAAGCTTAGCAAGTGTTTTATCTTATGTTCATTTGTTCTTCAGTTTTATTTATTCTACAGTTTAATTTGTTGTGTTAATTAAAAAAAAATATGTAAAATATTCATTAAAATGTTTTAATTCCATTAAATCCATAAATAAAAAATTTTATTACCATAACTATAAAGTAAAATTCGTATTTTATAAAACGACTAAAACATTTTAGCCGCCAGAATGTCAAGCAGTATATAATTTGACAATCTGGCCGCGTGTTGACCGTCATTTTATAAAACATCTAGGCATTTTACAAACCAACTAGCCAGATCGGAAAAATAATAAATGTTAGACGAGAATTTGACAATCTGGCCGCCTTTTGTAAAATATCTAGACATTTTATAAAACGACGGGTTTTACAATTTGGCTACGACATATGTACACATCGCCAAAATTCTTGGACCCCGCTATGTTTGTCAAAATAAGACACTATTATTGTAAGTCAAGAAGTGTATTACATAGTACATTTAATTTGGTTATGTATCCAATGCAAATTGGCTGAATAAAATTTTAACTAAACAAGAAAAAAAAATACAAACGAAAAATAGTGTATAATAAAATTATTACCAGAATTTAAAATCTAGAAGAAAATCTCTTTAGAGCGAAATCAAAGATGCATTATTATTCGATATGGTCTTCTCGGTTTTGTAGTAAGGTGTTAACTCGTCTGTGCATGGAAACAGTAAGG